CTTGATGGTCTGGCAAAAATCCCAAGTTACATAATTATATTATTCTACTTACATGAATTGTCCTTTCAATTTCAAAGAGAGATGATACAGTCCTCCTCATTCCATGAACAATTCCACGAATTGTTCCATAGCTGCTGCACTCCAGCAGTGGATGAAGTGATGTCTGTGCTTACCTCTTAACCATCTCTTTATAGTGGTGTGACAAAACATTAAATTCTACAGTGAAAACTCCTATATAACGACCAGTCCTCGTTAGGTGTCTCTACTTTGCACTATTTACTAACAAAAGTGTTTTTTGTAGTAACTCGAGAAAGTTATCAGACTACTGGACCTGTGCATCATTCACAATTTTTTATCCTTCTGCAAGTACATAATTACTACCTGCCTGTGCTGTTGTGCAAATTGTTAGGGCACAGGGACTTGTTTGCTTTTTTTATGGTTTTGGAATGCACAGTATTGCTGATGGCAAAACTTGACTTGGATATTTTTATTCCTTGTGATGATGTCAGAAATGAGAGAATTGGGCCAATTCTCTGATTTCAGGCTGAATTTGCATTCAAGAAAATCGTTGGTGGTCAACTGTCTCACACCCAAGAAACAGGAGAAAACCCTCCCAATATCTTGTGTAAAATTTGGTAGTAATTGCCAAGACCCAATCTGCTACAGTCAGTTTAACTGAAAAGCTGAACTTGTAGTTTGTCCATTAGAAGGTTGATCAGAGCTATTACACACTTGGGGAAATAAGCAGCTTTTCCATCCTGTTTGTTCCCAGGGCTGTGTCAAGCTGTCAGTGTGGGAGACACAGGCAGTAGCATCAGTTGGTAGATTTGGGGCATATTCTGCTATTGTTTACTGCTGTTTTCAGAGAAGTTTCTCTCGTGGACATCCCTGTTGCTTTGCCTTGCTAGAACTCTTGTTACAGGTGGTGCTTTGAAGTACTTTACAGTAAACTAGTGGCAGGTCTGAAGAAGCTTTCAGCTCCCATTTTCCAAGCCCACAGAGTACAAGTTTCCAGGGAGCAAAATGCTGTGGCACAGGGTCAAGCCAGCAGTAGCTTGAGTTAATTAAACTTGAGTTTGGGAGTTAAGAAGGGCTGCAGACAACCTTTGGACAGCCAGTTGGGTATTGTTCTCGTGCTCTATCAAGTCATTGTGATTATTCTGGAATGGGAGTAGTTCAGGGAAGGCAATGGCACTGCTCATTGGAATGTAGGTGAATACCTACACAAAAAATGAACAATTCAGTTACAACAGGTGCTCTGCTGTGATCAGAGGCCTAAATTTCTACTACTAGAACTGGTTTTGCCTCCTCCCAACAGCTCTTCCTTAAAACTTCCTTTGGTTGGCTGTTCTGTGAGAAGTTTGAATTTTAATATTACCTATTTTCTGCTCTTGAGTAGCAGATTGTACATCACAAACAGCCTTAGCCCAGCAGCTACTCTGATATTGTTTTTAAAGGAGGCTGCAAAAATATCAAAGTCAACAGTGAATAATTATGAAAGGAAGTTAGGAGTTATATTTTAACTGTTCTGTTACTTGGTTTTGACAGTAGGGTTTAAGTGCATTGGATAAATCTTAATTGTTTACAATTTTGAATTAGAAAATGCTAGAAGGGGTAAGAGCCTCTTGGTGTGGTAACATAATCTGCCACCATACATAAATAGGTACAGTTGGCTTTGTTATTTACTACTGAGTTACAACACTGCAAACCTTTGAGTAGGCAGCAAGAATACTGATAGTTTTCAGAAAGCTTACTGTGCACTTCTCTACCTGCTCTACCTGCAAACCTTTTTGGCTTAAGTTGGAGAATTCATTACTTTCAAGATAAGGTTATAATTGTTATAGATTGTATCATAGATGGGATCACATTTTTCACTGAAGTCAGGAATTAATTATCAAAATATTGCTGTGTGGCTGATTATTTTCCAAGTGACAGAGAGGCCAATATTAATAGTGCCTCAGCCCAAACATCCTGTCACCAATATGGAAAAAACCCAGAATGGGTAATAGGGTTACTGAAGCAGCACAGCAACACGTCAGAGTTAACATCTCTACTGCTCTTCCATTCTTAAAATACTTCTTTGATCAAAACATTTGCCCATCCCTTCAGAATTAGTACTATTTATTTGCAAACTATGAGATTATTTGAAGCGTATTTTATTTTCTGAATGTTAAAAAAGAATTCTTTTGGTTATTAATACCTTCAAACCTGACAGTTAATGCTTTTACACTGTTGATTATAGTACAGTAGAAACTTATGGATTGAATTCTCCCATTCTATCTAGGTGTCATTTATTTGAAGAAAGTTATATCCATTACAATACATAGGTATTTATACAGTATCAAATATTGGTATCAATACAGGCTGAGGATGAAGATCCCATTCCAAAGCAGTGTCAGCAGCAGGTGAGGGAGGGGATTCTGCCCCTCTGCTCTGCTCAGGTGAGGTCCCACCTGCAGTTGTGCCTCCAGCTCTGGGGTCCCAGCACAGCAAGGACATTGACTGTTGGAGTGAGTCCAGAGGAGGCACAAGATGGTTAGAGGGATGGAGAACCTCTCCTGTGAGGAAAGGCTGAGAGAGTTGGGATCGTTCCTGGGCAGAGAAGGCTTCAGGGTGGTGACATAACCTCTGCTCTGCTCAGGTGAGGTCCCACCTGCAGTTGTGCCTCCAGCTCTGGGGTCCCAGCACAGCAAGGACATTGACTGTTGGAGTGAGTCCAGAGGAGGCACAAGATGGTTAGAGGGATGGAGAACCTCTCCTGTGAGGAAAGGCTGAGAGAGTTGGGATCGTTCCTGGGCAGAGAAGGCTTCAGGGTGGTGACATAACTGCAGCACTGGCACAGGTTGCCCAGAGAAACTGTGGACACCCCTGGCAGCGTTTGTTCCAGGCCAGGCTGGATGGAGCCCTGAGCAACCTGTGCTGGTGGAAGGTGTCCCTGCCCATGGCAGGAGGTTGGAACGAGAGGATCTTTAAAGGTCCCTTCCAACCCAAACCCTCCTATAATTCTACAGAAGTCCTGAATTGACTTGGTGTGTTTATGACTACTTTTCAATTACCTGTAGCAAATGTTTTGAGTGCAGCTGCCTGTTCAGCACGATGGCCTCAGCACAGGAGCAGTATCATACTCTACAGAATATGCCTATTACTCTGCAGCAGAAAAGTTGGTTCTTTTGTTGGGGGATTATAGTGCATTAATGATAAATCTGCTAGGAAGATTCAGTCTTAAAGCTTCTCATGGAAAATGAGAACAAAGAAAGATGGTATTTCGACAGCCATCTGTCAGTTGGCCTCCCAACAGCATTTCTATAGAGGTGAAATTTCACACCCAGGAAGACTTCCAATAGCACTTCTCAGCAGGGCTGTGCTACAGTGGGTGCATTCTGAAAATGTATGGAGTTAGAACTATTTCTCATGGTGATCACCTGGAACTACACTTCCTAACTGACATTGCTTTCTCCAACTTATCGGTAGGAAGGCAAGAACCTTACCCAAACTCTTTTAATGCTTCTAACTAGAAAGTCAGAGCACAACACGAAACCTTTGACAAGAGGTTTAACAGCATTTAACACCTTAATTGCAAATCTTGTGGATATACTGTGTGAACCAACCTGTGGTAAACTTTACTGTAAGCACCAAGAATGTGTTGTATGTAGTGATGCACCACTGAGCATGCAAAACACCTCTGAGCAGAAGAGTCTGAGGTCATTGTTTTGTAACTTGACAACAGCTTAAATGTCAGCATGAGGTGACTTTACTCCTAATTGCTTTTTCAAAAAACAAGGAAGCTAATCTATGTTTATTATATCATGATGGAGGCTACAGACAACTTTGCTGCCACAGTGGCATTATGCATTTAGCATTATTCCCCAACCACCTGACAAAGACAGGGAAATATATTGAATTGTGCATCCTCTTAATCATGAAATCTGTTCTCCCCTTTGCTGGTAGGAGCAAATTCTATTGATGTGGTTTCAAAAGTCCGATAGCTTTAAATAGTTATCTAAAAAAAAAAAAAATCTTACTCTGAGAAATATTAAAGGTGTGCAGTAAGGAAATGTGCTGTCCTGAATAACAGCGATGTAATATGAAAATCTCCTTTGTTGGCATCTGATCAGTGCAGACTGGAAATATCCAGCAGAACTTCACAGCTCAGGAGACTTGTTGGCTTTGCTGCTGTGTGAATGGGTCACTGTTCAGCACTGCCATGGTAACACTGCCTGCTGTGACTCGGGGTGGACACGATCAGCTCAGCTCTGTACCTGCTCCCTCTCTCCTGCTGCTGGGTGGGCAGGCACAGGAGGTGCTAGGACCAGTGCCAGAGCAGAGGAGAGGTGATTGCTTTCAACACCAGCACTTCTGGTTTGTTGGGAAAGGATGGTTCAGCTTAGCAAACAGTGCTAAGAATGCAAATTGACAGATGTAAATGCACAATTAGTCATATAAACGCACATAAATAAAAGCATGATTGTTCTGAGAGACTCCTCCAGGGTCCTAAGGACACTGAGCAGCTGTAAAGTTTAAATATTTAAAGTTGAGCTACTCATCTTAGGTAATTATTGCAGCCTGATGAGATTTGGGCATAGCAGTGCACATGGCATTGCTTGTGCTGAGTGTCCTGTTACATTCTTCAGTTCATCTCTACACACCTCATCACTCAGCAACACAAAATGTTTCCTTTACCTTCTTGAAAAACAAAACCAAACCAAAAAATCCCACACCTTTCTCATATAAACAAATAGTTCCTTTTGTAATGACTTTGGGCCTTGCTAAAGTAAACGTGGCTATAGTTTAATTATAGAAGCAGTTTATGTAACGCTGATACATTTTTAAGATTTTAATTTTTTAATGCCTTGTCTCCTCTCTAGACCTGGCACATAAATACTGCATCCATCCCAGGATGACTGAAGCAGCAGCACACTGCAGGTCTCAGCTCTCTGGTCCCTAAGCTCTGTAATGACTGCACGGAGGGATTTAAACAAAGAAAAACACAGAATACTTTGGGTTAAGCACCATTTAATACAATCCAAATAATTAACCATTAAAACCATCTGAGAAATTGCCCAAGTTTAATTTTCAGAAATTTGGCAGGAATGAATAAATAACAAGACCTTTCCAAGTGGTCCAAGGAATTCTGCTGGCTGGAATGCTACACTTGGTTCACAGAGCTTTCCTCCTATGCCACATTACTACAGAATGGGTGGTACACAAGCAATGGTACATGCAATGGATCCCTTTACTCAGAAAAATAATGTACAGTGCTGTTCAGCAGAGGCCAGATGCTATTCTATACAGTCTGTTAACTGAAAGGCCTTGTGAGACATTCAGGTCTAACTAACACTCCCCAAATAAATAGCAAATAATGCAACATTTACAAAGAACACACCAACAGGATTTTCACGGTAATAACTTTAAAAACCAGAATTTAGTATTTCAGTTAAGCAAATGAGTAGCAGCTCCTTTATAAATATTAAGGCATGTCACATAGCATCAAAATGGAACCGATGAGCCTCCTGTCGCTTCTCTCTGTCATCTGCTTTCTGAAAAACAACAATGAGAAACACTCTGTGCGATCCGGAGCAACGCTGGGACAGAAAGGAGTTGTCAAATGCCAGAGAATGCTTCATTTTTTCCAAGTCACTCATTTGACAAAAGGCAAAAAAGCTTAGTAAAACCCCAATAATTAACTCTTAAATGATGTCAGCTTGAAATAGCAATAATCTACTCAAAATTGGCTTCTGCTGTTAATGCTCTGCTGTTGGAGTATTTATGACCCATTATTTTCCATTATTTCTAATAATGCTTTATTTTAAAAGGAATAATTTAAAACCAAAGACCATTTCCTACCATGCATTTAGTCTGCATTATAAATAGGAGATGAAATTACTCTGCATTAACTGTAAATGTCATTTATGTTACACTTAAGGAGGATCTCATTCTGTTAAATACAACTTTGGACCAAGGTGGTAGTTCAACCAACAATGAACAGCACCAAACCAAGTAGGCTAAAAATGTTCTGGGCTTTGTGTTTGTGTGTGAAGTAGGATGCATTTCCCTACTTACTTATGCAGAACACACACTGACCTGCTGAAAGAGGAGTTTGGACAGTGCTTGGAAAAAGAGAAGCAAATGGAAGTGGTACCTATAATCCATGTAATGAGTCAAAACAGGTTCTCTCCCCCCAGTCTCCTCGGGTGTGCTAGAGCAGTAACAGGGTATGGAAGCACTTCTCCCAGGATTTTTGAACACACTCTGTGAACTTTTCTAGAAAACAGCATTTCTCTCATGACAGACAGGATGTGTAAGTGCTAGCATGAGGGAATTTAGCTAAACAGCTTGAAATGCTTTTTTGCTTGCTTAGACCTAACTGGTTTTTTTTTCCCTGATGAGTAAAACGAAGCAAAGCCCTTACAGTGCCTTGTGTGGGCACCCAGACTGGTGTCTGGGTTCATAAATACACTCCACAGTTTTGGTAGAAATCAGTGCATGTCTTCTGCCATCAAAGTTTGTCATCTGCTTTGGCTCAAGGCCAAAGGTTTCCTCATTACACAGTGTTTGTGTGTGACAGCAACTTCATTGCATTAGCTATGGATTTTACTGCAGTTTGGAGCAGCAGCAGAGCTGTCAGGGAGGTTTAAGATAGATCAGTCTGGCTTTTTTGGCAGGGACTTTATCAATGTCAGTAGTATTTTGAATGTCAAGAGAAAGGG